GAGGCGTGCATAGTTTTGGAATAAAGTGAAACCTACTACTTCGAACTGGTCCCCTTGTATAACGCATCGATATAATTTCTCGTTATAAGATATAGAAGGTAATCCGCCATCTTAATGAAGCTTAAGAGCATACACCGCCGGTCACGGTAGCCGAGCGGTCTAAGGCATGCACTGTCTTCGCTCGCTCGGAAGCCGAGATCGTGGGTTCGAATCCCACTCAGGGCATGGATGATTGTGTGCGTTTTTCTGTGTTTGTCTACAGGTAGAGGCCTTGCGACGAGCTGATCACTCGCTCAAGGAGTCCTACCGAATGTGTAAGATCTAGACAAACCGAAGTGAACGGAGTTCATGGAGGTAGGCCTAGGCCCACTGGGAGCATACACCTATACTCTGATCTTGCAATCAAAATATGAAAAGTTGCTCAATGGTTGCAGTGGAGTTCACACTTCCACGTTTTTTTATTGTTAGTGGGGAGGGACTAAGTCCCTTGTACTGCGGCCACTTCTGGCCTATTGTACCAGCCCCAGATGATAGGTGAGGGTGATTGTGGAGCAATTGGTGGAATGAAGATTGGCAGGGGAAACCGAAGTACTCGGAGAAAACCTGCCCCGGCGCCACTTTGTCCAGCACAAATCCCACTTTACCAGACCCGGGGCCGAACCAGGGCCGCCGTGATGGGAAGCCAGCGATTAATCGCTTGAGCTATGGGGCGGCCCATTCCACGTTCTTGCGGCTGTAGTTTTGGCATTATTGATGGGAGGGAATATAAAAAAGGTTAAGTTATCCCTGTAACCGGCCGTGAAGGCCCATAGGATTGTGAGACGTCCAGGCTCCCACATTTGCTAGTCAGTACGCTTACATATGGCGTTGATGTTGTTAGCCTTACGCACCGGCCGCCCTTTACCTCCAAGAAGCTTCCTGGTACTCATTTCTGTTAGAGGCTGAGTCGACATCAGGGCCATAGTGCGGCTCGAAGAATTGGGTCAACTGAAAAATCCAGTGCTCTCATCGGGAATTGAACACGCGATATTCGGGTTTTTAGCACAGTGCCTCAGCCAACTATGCTACCGTGTGCACCAGGACAGAAAATATACGACACAAATTACAAGGTACAACTCTCAGCAGCTCAATGATCACACACGCCATATTTCTGACGTGTTATATAATTCGAAACCATCCTTCTCCCTTATGGACGTCACATTTAAATATAAATGGAGAAATTACAGGGCATAAATTGCGAGGTAGCAGCATCCAGTTGGACAGTGCTCACACACCAAATTACTGCTGTATATAATTCAAAGCCATCCTTCTCTCTTATAGTCGTCATTTAGAAATAGAGTAATAACACACACAAAAAATAAAATAAATTATTATATTTTTGTGAGACAACTTTATGATCAGTCTAATTTCCTTTCCCGATGAATTGAAGTATACTAATGAGCTCGCTGTGCTGCTTAACGTGTCTGTCTGTCTCTCTCTCTCATTTCGACGTTTAAACGATTTGAACGATTAACAAGAAATTTGGTAAAGTAAAAAAGTAAAGCTATCCTTGTACGAGGCCGTGAAGGCCCATAGGGTTGTGAGATGTTAATGTTCCCACATTTTCTACACAATGGGCTCAAAGATGGCGGTAAGGTTGCCAGCCTTACGCGCCGGCTGAGGTTTACTCCCCCCAAAAATTATTTAATTATTCCTGGTACTACTTTCTGTTAGAGGCTGGGTCAACCCCAGGGCCATAGTGCGGTCGGAAGGATTAGGTCAATTGAAAAAAAAAATCCAATGACCTCATCGGGACTTAAACCCGCGACCTTCCGGCTTGTAGCATATCCCCTCAACCAACTACGCTACCGCGTGCCCCCAACAAGAAATTTGGTACAGATATAATGCAATTGGCCGGTCACGGTAGCCGAGCGGTCTAAGGCATGTACTGTCTTCGTTCGCTCGGAAGCCGGGATCGTGGGTTCGAATCCCACACAAGGCATGGATATTTGTATGCGTTTATTCTGTGTTTCTGTTTTACTGTATTAAGTAGAGGCCTTGTGACGAGCTGATTACTCGTCCAAGGAGTCCTACCGTCTGTAAAATGATCATGAAACTGAAAAACATAGACCAGGGCCCAAGGGGGCTGTAGAGCCAGTGAAAAAAAAAATTATCCAATTGCCGGTAATTCTAACGTGGTATGTTATGATTTCCTGGTAATCAGAAATGGACGGCTAACAAAAGAACAGAAGATCTGGGTTGCGATAAACGCTATGGACACTTTTCTGGGCTTCTGTAATGATAAAGCGGATACGCAAACAACGTTTGGATTGGTGAATCGATCTCTTGACCACTTACAGGTCGTAACTACGATTATTTGTAACACTCTCAAGATTGCTGTAACTACAGCACATAAAATCTTCAACGTCACGTAACACTTCACAGCTTCTTCCATGCCGGCTTCTCAGCTACGACTGACTGCAAACAACTTTCGTATTCCCGTATAAACCCTCGGCACGGAACACGCACAGAAAGCACAGCGTGTATGGTTGAAACGCTTCTGCTGGGTTCCCCACGTGATCGCTATCCAGCCAGTTCATTGGAGAGCTGACTGATGCCTAGCAAAGAGCTTTAAACATTCACCCATGAGAACACAGTTTCCATTGTTGCGTGTTGGAACGTCTTTAGGGAGCTGTTGCCTGGCAACACGTCACAATATTTTGGAAAGATATCCAAGAATTTTAAGCAACTTTCTGTAATGTGTAAAACAACAGAATGAGAGCTGCATTAATTCTCCCGTGTATACCTAGCCTTCAGTATGATGACGATAACTAATGACTCATTGGAGCTCGAAACATGTAATTTGATATGCAGGGACATCATAAACGTACAGTAGACTCCCGATATAACGTGGGTAGTGGGCGAAAGCCTCAGCATTAGCGTCATTACTGAAACTGAAATATATCTCATATATACCCTTTGCCTTTAAAATCCATTTTAATATTACAATTTTGCACAAATTTCTAACCTCCGCTATTATCAAACAATATTATTCGCCTTGATTTTATAGGCCTAATAATATTTGGCGAAAAATACAAATTATGAATCCCTCCTTATTCAGATTTATTCATCCTCTTACATCAAAACAGTCTCCTCAGCACACGTTTTTAAATACCCTTTGGGTGACAAGCCTAGTTTCATACCTACACATGACATAAAAATCGTCTCATGTCCATGAAGAGAGTGGTCTTATTGCTTATAACTATAAATTATATAATGATACAAATTCTGTCCCAAGTGCAAAAAATATATTATGTGTCCTTGATCTTGCTCCTTTACACTACATGTTTCGGCCTCAGACGGCCATCATCAGGTGTATAACACTCACGTTGCTGTCACACTGCACCCAGCCCAAAATTTAACATTTAAAACACTTTCCTTGTTATTATCAACATCTACTTCGTTGATATCTGTCTGGTTTGTAGATTATTTTACACACGTTAATTTTGACGT